TTAAAATATAATATAAATATAGTTAATATAATTAATTCATGTACAATGTGTATATAACTGTCTTAAAATTTATTTACCTTTAATTTCATATAAAAATAATAATTTTTTCATAAGTGGGTTTTATAATGTGTTAAAGTAAATGGTACCAATCGATGTCCAAACATGAATTCATTAATTTTTCTTTAATTTATATCATGTACATTATAACAAATTAGAACAAAATTACTTCATTAAATTTGATACAACTGAATATATAGTGAAACAAAAACCAATGACTTAGCTTGATATCACATATACTATAACAAATTATAGATTGGGAAAAATGTTTATCAATAATATTTACAAAAAATTAGCTGAAAAAATATTTAAAAACTACATTATTTTAATAAATTCACTTTAAAAAAGACTGAAACTTCTTAAGTTTTAAAGTAGGAATAAGACCATTTGAGTTTTCTTCTTGTAATATTTTATTAAAATGACATAATTTTTAGTATTTTTTGATTTTTTTTTTTTTGTAGATCCACTTAATAAACACTTATTTCTTGATATATATCTTCTTTATCATTCATAACAAATTATAATTAATTGTTTAGATTCTTCAGACTTTTTTTTTTTTGGTCAAAAACCCACTCGAAGCTTTATGTACCAATGAAGTAATCATTTAAATAACATTATTAATTACGTCATCCAATGCATGACATAATACCTTGTTATTTTTATTTTTGAAACCACATTAAATTCTTTTCTAAAGATTAATAATAATAATAATAATAATAATAATAATAATTTATATTACGATCTACTATGCAAATTTAAAAATTAGAGAATACTTAATTCATAGCAGAAAATGTACCTTACTTGAATGACTAGTGCTTTCCTCAAATGGCAAAAGAAAGAATGTGCTTGGTGAAAAGGCTTCTTTCATTGTTTGCACAGTTGCATGCACTAATATAACTTCTAACTACTTCAAAGATTTTCACTGCATATAAAATAGAAACCAAAATATAACAAATTAGTTAAAAAAGCTAAAAAAAAAAAAAAAAAAGCAATCCAGGATTGATCAAATCCTTTGGAGGAGAGAGGGAGTGTATTATTCCAGAGAAATTGAAGTTTTAATAAATTAGTCTTGAAACCCATAAAATGAATAATATTTTAAAGCAAATAATACTTACTTTCCTAAATTAAAGTTAGGGGATTGAGAGTTCAATTCTCTGTCTACTTGAAAATCTCCATCCCTTCCCCAAAAAATTCCTATGTTAGAAGAGAAAAAAAATAATAATAAGAAAAAGAAAACATAGATTGATAGAAGCAGACATGCATGCATAATGATACCTTATTATTCCTCCCGACTGATTACTTGTCACAATTCTTAAAAAGATGTGGTGCAAATATATCAACCTTATTTCAATAGTTGAACTTGTGAAGTTTAAGTCTGCAAAAGGCAAAATGTATAAATTACAAAAAATTGTAAGTTGGTAATTTATTTAAAAATTAATGAAGTTAAAGAAAAAGTACGTACGTACCAGTTTCGATTTATAAAATAAATTAAAATTTTAACTTTAAATTATATTATTTTATTTAATTAAAATTTAATTTAAAAATTAAAAATTTATCTTATTAAGTGTTGAAATTTAAATTTGAAAGTCGATAATATTAAAATATATAATTAATTTTTAAATTTAAGTATTAATATTTAATAAGATAAATTTTTAAATTTTGAATTGACATTTCAATTTTTAAATATAAGTTGAGATTCTAATTTTTTTAAGAATCAAGATTGATAGGTATTAGTTTCTAAAATTAATATCTTTAAATAATTAAAATAAATATAAAATTGATATATTTATTTGCATATTTTCTTCCCAATTTCACTCTAAACTTATGTAGTAGGAATAGATTCACTTTCAGATTTAAAAGAACAAGCCGCTCCACAATCTTTTTTAAATTAGACAAACCATCTAAAATTTAACATTTAATACCGATGACTTTATGTGACTTAAGTAATTTGTTAACTTATCTGCCTAACTTTTACGTGCTGGACACTTACATGGTCCACTTTCATCTGGACCCTACTAAAAAGGGGGCGTTTCTTTTCCTCTTATTAGGCCTTGATATGAAGATAATTTTTTTAATAATTTTTTATATTATTAAGTAAATAAATAAGAAAATTTATTTAATATTATAAATTTTAAAAAATAAAAATAATTATTTAAAATAATACATAAAATTATATTAAAAATAATAAAAAATTAAAAAAATTATCTCTTAATCATTTTTTTTTATTTTAATGTACCTAAAGCAAAATTAACTCAGTTGCGTTAAATAAATTAATCTTAAATCTCAATTAATAAAATTGATATGAATTAAGTCAATTAATTAAAAATATAACTCACCTTAATTGTTTAATTAAATAATTAATTTCATTTAACTTAATCAAATATTGCAGTATAATTAAAAAGATTAAAAATTAAAAAAATATCAAATTATTCATCAACCCATTCATCGTCACTGCAAATGGGTAAAGTTCCTCAACCTTTCATCCTTGGTTCTCATTAAAAACCAGATGGATTCTCTTCTTCATCTCAAAGAAAATAAAGAACAGACTTGTGGCTTTTCCATTATAGTTCATTGAAAATACATCATAATCCTTCAAAAGGTGAAAGCTTTTTGTTTGAATTTGAAATTGGCATGTTTGGCAATTTTGAAGGTGTCATTGGCCATACCGTAATCATGTTGAAAGCTTTTACCAAGGAAATGGCACCCATTTGTGAGCAGAATTGGTGTAGGGGTCCAGACATGGGGTAATCAACTAGATATGTAGATCTTTTTTAAGAGAAAAAGGAAAAACTAAAATTGAAACTTAGGTCTGGTTTAGCTAAAGAAAATTTTGAAAGCGGCATGAGTTTATAAATTTAAAGAAATGTAAAGGTTAATTTAGGACTGTGATAAGTACAAATCAATTAATGGGGGCCACATAAGCATCCAGCGTGTTGGCCAGCTAAGCTTGGAGTTAAAGGATTGCTCAGGGAGGATGACGTTGGACCTTAGATTTTCACTAATTTGTCCAACTCTAAAAGATTGTAGGTGAATACTTTTTTTTTTTTCAAGGGTAAATTTGTCCTACTGCATAATTTTGAGGAAGGATTTGCACATTATGCTTTTTTTCCTTTTTAGTAATGAAGAATAACACTATTACAGAGTAGAAGAGTTGATAAATATTGATCTCGATAATAGAAAATCATTTTTAGTGTGGTTGTAGTTTTTATTTTAATTTTTACTATAAATTTTATCGCTTAGAAAAATGAAAATTAATCAAGCATAACCATCATTCAATAGGATACATTCGCCTTTAGTCTCTATTTTGAAAGTTTTGTGTCCCCAACTTTTATAAAAAGAAGGATAATGATAAATGAGTTAAAAATTTTAGGTCTAAAATTTAAAATCAATTACATGTATAAATTATATTATTTAAAATATTAAAAAATGAATCATATATTATTTAATAATTAATTTTTTAATTATTTTAGATCTATGATATTATATGTGTCAAATTATTTAATGACGTGATTTATACTGTATTCTTAATCTTAAATTTTCATATTCTGTATCACTATTCTTGTGAAAAAGAATGCTTAAAAGTTAAAACATTAGTTTGGAATAATATAACCATTAATATTTATAGAAACCATTTAATTAAAAAAATTTTAAAAATTTATATAATATCTTTTAAAAGTTTAATATTATGCTTTTGTTAAGTCTTTTTTTTAATCATATTTTCATAGCAATTAGAAAAATAACTTGGGAGGAAGAAAATTTTAAAGATTAGTTCTGAAGTGCTCTCCAATGAAAAAGAAACTAAAAACTGACTAAAATGATGATATGAAACAAAGTAATTAAGGATAAAATTGATAAAAAAATAAAACTTAAAAAACCAAATTAAAAATTTCACAATAGCTAGGGGGGCGTTTGCCATAACATGGCGGAGGTAAAGCTAGTGGTACGAGATATTGATTTGGAATGATTATCAAGTTATAAGAACATTCTAACTGTTAATAAATCAAAAAAATGTTCTTTACATTTTGAATTGCAAGAAAAAGAAAGCACATAAACACATATAAAATTATTTCACCGATTTTCATATACTTTTTGATTTTTTTCAGAATGACTTGAAAATTTGTTTTCTCTTTTAACTTAATAATAATATTAGAGTATTACTTTTGAAACAGACTTAACCCCGTTCCAAAAATTCGTTCAAAAAAGAATAACAATATAAATATTTTTAATGTACCATGCAAATTCAAAGAATGAGACAAAAAGTAATGATATATATTAAAAAAAAATAAAAAATAAAAACAAACAAACAAACAAAAGAAAAGTGCACCTTGCTTTTATGTATTGTGCTTTCTCCAAATGACGAAAAGAAATGCTGAGCTAGGCGAAAGGCTTCTTCACAGACTGCACGCTTCGATCAGTATGCTCTATCTTCTTCAGAGATTTTGATTACATGTAAAATAATAGACACCAAACTGTAACAAATTAGTTAAAAAGTAGAAGATTGATCCAATCCATTGGAGGAGAGGGAAAGTATTAATCCAGAAAATTGAAAGCAAAAAA